ATAAAATGCAAATTGCGAACAGCTTCGTCGAAGGGAGTCAGATAATCTAGATCTTGGATATTTGTCGTTTTATTCAAAATGATTTCTCAAAAACAATAAAATTTCTATAGTTTTACTTTAACACCTAAAGAATTCAACGTATTTGAATTTTATATACGTAATTGCAAACAAAAAGCAGTCATGATAACGAGTTTTAAATGAATATTTCTCAATGTTTCCTCGATGACGTAGAATTTACAATAAGTCGATGTACTTTGAATATATTAAATGAGATTATTGATCTCTACTACTAACATCATTGATTATGAATATTATGATTAATATTAATTATTAAAAATACTATTATTAACATTGAGCATACGTAAACGAACAAACATTTGAAATTGTCGATGATAAAATGTTCTCTGGAAAATTTTCCCTCCGTTTCATTTCGAAACAAACAGCTTAACCTGACTTTTACATTTTAAATTTAATTTCAATCGTTGTACTGCATGATCAAACGTGAAGATTCAAAGAAACGAAGATGTGAAATTTAATTCGATTATTGACAAATGAGAAACTCGTCACCGTTAAATGAATCAATTTGAAATTTGAATTTATGTTATCGACTTCAATTCAGTATTCGTCAATAATGCTTCGGACAGATCAATATTGCCTTAGGCATTCCATTTGCCATCAATTTGACAATTACGTTGATCCCAACTTTTATTCACAATAGTGAGAACTCTCAGGTAATATCTGAAAGAATACCTGATTTGAATGAATGATCGATCGTCTGACAAGCTTGATTACGATTGATATTTATGCTCAGCGGAGAACAGTTCAATTTTGGCAACCGCCTTCAGTCGAGGAACAACAATAGGATGCCACGACATTTATGGTCTTTTTTGAAAATTTGTGGCTCGTGATCCATCAAGACGAAATACATAGCATCCAATGCTACAACAGCGCAAAGCGACATTTTCATACTCTTTGCGACTTTTATTAAATTTTTGATCGAAGCTGAAATCCACTTTGTTACAGCCGATGGAAAACGCGAGGAAGCAAAATTGAAATCCCCTCGTCTTGAAAAAATATTGGTATTATAGAACGTGATAATTGAACTTGAATAATGTCAATCAGTTATTTTCTTTATAATATTTTATCTTTATTCGTTTTTACTAAGATGATTTTCTTAATAATTCTCAGGGTGGGAACTTTCGTGTACTAGAATAATTGTATACCATTAAATACCGATAATACTTAATAATTCTTAGGGAAGGAACTTTCGTGTAACAGTATACTAGAATAATCATATTAAAGTAGTACTAAATTATTAAACTATTAAAGTACTACTAAATTAAGCAGTCCTCGGAAGTGTAGAATTTAAAATCTGTTGTTTGTCACTTTGTCTCGCCGTCTCTTTAGACCAGCGTTTTACATCCTAATAAATTAGAGCGCAACTTCTAGCGAAGAGAAACAGATTTCCTAGATAGTCTGCATTTATTATAAATACTTTCACTTCGAAATATTACCACTTTCACAACGATTTAATCTCTCCGTCATTGTCTATCTTGTGTTCTACGTTGTGATACATTAATCATTGCGGCACCTCGTATGAAATATGATGACATTCTCATCGTTTAATCGATTTACACCTTCCTTCTTTCAATAAAGTGAGACGGAGGATTTTAGAAATTATTTCAGAGAAACAAATGAAAAACGTTAAAATTTTTGTGTACTTTACAAAGGAGAAAATTTTAAAAGAATTTTGTCAAGGTTTAATTATTAAAATTAAATTAAATTACTTCTGAAGTGTTAATTTTGACCTAATAGAGACTAGAGTACAAGTAGATATTAACATAAAAATTGTACAAGTAGTATAAGTATATATTAACAGTAGTACAAATAGATATTAACAGAAAAATTGTACTCTAGCAGCTCATCTTCCAAATAAAATTGTACGTCTTATTAAATTACAATCTTCGAGTCGTTCGAAATGATCTTCGAAATTTATAATAAAAATAACGTCTGAAAAGAACACCAACTGCCAGGATTTTCGATTATTTTCGAAAACATTTGCTCGCCTCGACGACAAATTGAATAACGCTTGTCAAAAAAACAGAAATATAGCACTGTTCTCGTTCGTAGAAGCAGTTCGCGAGCTATGAGCCAAAGTATCCACTTCAAGAGAAAGGAAGAAACTTAGAAAGAGTTTAATTAAAATTCGTTCAAGTCGACACCACAGATTTTCAAGGGACAGTCGAAAGGTCCTTCGTCGAAGAATTTAGGAAAGTTTCCTCTGAGTGTGTGCTTTAATTCGAATAGTTATGCAAGAAACTACAATCTGAATCATTTATAACATATCATTGACGATAGTTAAGGAAGTTTGTCTCAAATTTATTTCAGAGTAGAAGAGTTCAGTTTGTAATCTGATTGAATGAAAAATCTTACGCAAATCATTCGTTCGGAATCTAATTAGAGAGATAATGACACGTTCGAGCAAGATGTATAGGAGTTGACAGGAAATGTTCAACGTTTCGTTGAGCATCGTAAATTCGACGTGTGTCCTTAAAAGCTTCCACGTTTCCGGCGGTGTGTACAAATTTAAATCTCACCGTCACGAAAACTTTCGAGTTCTGCGAGAGCAACTCGGTGTCCCTCGTGGCAGTATGTTCTGTTCAAGAGAGAAATTTGAAACTGGTTAGCCGTCCGTTAGTGCTAACCCGTCGCGACGCAAACCGAAACGAAATGTTTTTTGGTCGGAACGTCTGCGGTGAATAAACGTAAACAGAGACAGTGGGAATAAAGATAAATGGATAGTGGGATCCGAATTTAGACTTTTGAATTTTAATAAATCCGCGCTGAACGCGAACCGGTGCAACTCCTCGCTGTAATACGAGTTTTTGTATAATTTTTGTAATTTAGATTTACACTGAGGAACGAATAACGATGAAATTATGTTATAATTTTGTAAAGGAAAATCACGTGACATTTTAAAGTGTGAAGCTCTATTTTGAAAGCGCAGAATTTTTTCTCCTTCTTTTTTTTCTTCAAAAGACGATTCTATATCATGTCCCAAACCATTGTCACTAACACACCACGGTATTTAATATTTATTTAAATAGAATTCAATATTTAGTTTCTAGCAGAATGCTCTATATTTTCTTTGAAATTATATGCTCTACATGCTTCATCGGGGACTGAAAGTCACAAAATAAAATTGTCTCAAACCATTGTCACTAACATACCACGGTATTTAATATTTATTTAAATAGAATTTAATATTTAGTTTCTAGCAGAATGCTCTATATTTTCTTTGAGACTATATGCTTTACATGCTCCATCAGGGATTGAAAGTCACAAAAAACGGAAAACAAAATTGTCCCAAATATCGCTTGTTCTAATTTCTAATTCGCTCGAAAATCTGACGCTTCTGACTCGTTTTTATTATTCGAACGCCCAGCGCGAGGATCGATTTTCGTTTTCGCGCGTCGTTCTCCACAGCTCTCGGTCTTCGAGCCGCGCGTCGCCGATGGATCGACGGATAACACGGTTACCCACGACCGGCGGAGCGAGACATTTTGCCTCCGACAAAAGAATACGGTCGGCACGACGCGATGGCATTAATTCAGCCGCGCGACGGAATTTCATTTCCTTCCACTATCGGCTGAGAAAGGTAAATTCCATTCCATCTGCAGGCAGCGGTGGCTCGTGCGCGCAGCAAGCACGATATAACGCGATTATGATTATGGGATTCCGGGGGCAATCTTGCTGGATATCTATCCCGTGAAACAGGGGAACGAGGGGGAGGGGAAGGGAGATACTCTACGTAAGATACTTACACACCGCGCGCGGTTGAAAAGATATTTCTGAAGTGCACGCGCTCGATGAAACTCGGTTCTCAAACATTGTTTCGCTCGATTACGGAGTGCAACGGCGGATCGTTCGCCGGAGGATATTAAACTGTTGGTTTCGAATTTTTGTTACTCGTTCAGCAGTTGACTACATTGAGTTTCAAGTACGTGTGCTGTGTGTGAAATATTTTAGTTAGAATGTTTCAGTACATTGTATGCAGGGAACGAACATGTCTGTCGTTGTATATGATATGTGTAGCTAAAGAAATAATTATGGAGCACAATGTAGATCGTTCGTCAGGATATTAAATTGTTCATTTCAAATTTTTCTTACGCGTTTTATAGTTGGGTACAAATTGAATTTGAGTACTGTACGTGAAATACATAAGCTTTGGAAGAAAAAAATATTTTTTTAGTTAGACTATTTTAAGACATTGTATATAGAAAATGAATGTATAATAAACGAATTAACATAAACGAAATATTAAATTAAAAATGAAATATAAATTAATTTCTTTTGATATAAAAATTTTCTCTGAGTTTTGTAACTGATATTATCCTGATAAAAAATCATGTTCAATTCCTTGTACCGCGTCATAATTTTTCTTCGTTCATAATTAATTAAACTAGTAAATTTTGGACTGCAATTTTCAAACGTTTATAGTATTTCACTCACGAAGAAATCACAAAACATACCAATTCCAAGAATTCGTTTCATTGAAAGAAGTTAGTCCTAACCAAAACCTCTATTAAAATGATGATTATGTTTCAATTTACTGACAAGCACACGTGTAAACCAAATCTAAACTACTGTAATCAAATTTCAACTGAACAAAATCTAACCTAAATTTAACTGATCTGATATCCACCAAAAATAATTTCGTATTAATCCATTAAAATCGATTGCTTTCTCCACTATTGGAATGTGAAATCTCACGAAAATCATTGACAATCATACATGCACGACGAAACTATATAATCTAAGTCTAATCCAATGCGATTACAAATCAATAATCAAAACCACCGACCATTTTCCCCTGATTTATCAGAAAAATATTTCTCTGCCATATCAACTTCTGACTTTTC